TACTCTCTAGTGGGATCATAATTTTCACGTTCGCTTCGTATTGGAATATAACCTTTAATGGATATTATTTGAACTCGAATACGGTGGATGCCACTACATTGAGGATGCTTCTGTGAAGCCACATTGTTATGGCAGCTTTATTGCGAAAATAGTTTATATTTATATAAATGTGCTTTTGGTATTTTGTGATATGGTGAGAGCTTGATGTTATGGTACTTTATTAAAATATGAATATTAATTTATTTAAATGTGCGCAATCATTCCTATTTGAATAATAAAAGAATAATTCAAATATATCATATATTTTCCCATTATCATAAAAATATCAATGATTTCACTGATTTGGCAGTATTAATTTTAGAGAAATAGAGTGTGTCCAAGATAACGGTGGCTGAAATTAGAAAAAAGTTGTGTTATACCTAACAATATGCCATTTAGGAAGTTTTAAAATTCCGGGTACTTCCGGAGATATCCGGAAAAACCCGAAATTTTGTAAAATCGTTTTATTTATTTTTTTGGCTTTATTTGAAAACGAATTTTAAAATAAATTGCATATTTACATTGTCACTTTTTTTCGCTCTATCCCATGGCGCCAACATTTTTTGCAATCTGACGTTTCGTCTTCGGCCATCATCAGGTTAATTTTTTTAAATACGTCGCTGTTATTTTTGTGACAAAATCTGGTCATTTTTAATTCTGAATTAGATGATATTACTATCGTAATCGCTTTCAAATGTTTTAAGCTTGTTTTATGTATTTATTTAAAATTTTTCCTGAGTACGGCTCTGAACGCTTTCAAAATATCTATTCAGAGAGGAAGATAAACCGAGCAGATTAAGGTTCTGAACGTAGTGATAAGAAAGAAACAAGGAAGATCCTTTTATATGCAGAATAATTCTCTGATCAGATGTATATAATTTTTGTAACAATGGTTTTTTATAATAGAAACATTTACTTCAAATAGACTAATGGTAATTTACATTGACAGGGAGAAACCGCATTTAACAGAGGTTTTCAGTAAACCTTTGGGTTAGAATTCTTGATACCAATATAATAGGACCTTACTTCTATGATGATAAACTGATGGGTGCCAGATATTGCAGATTCTTTGCTTAAATGAAGTATATTATATTCATTAAATTTTTTGTAGTTGGCATGTTCTGCATTAGTCTGCATTTTTGGTACCAAAATTATAAAAAAAATATAAAAGATAAAGGCGACATGGAATATATCGAATGAAAGAGGAAAAAAACAAGCAATTGTTTGCTTCGATGATAATTAAATATCGTTTTCTATAGTGTATCCAAAGAATTTGTCTATCTGGTTTTCGATTAAAAAAATAAAAACTGATATCAAAATTTTTTCCCTGATAGTTAATTCAAAGCGAAAAATGTTTGTCAAATATCTGTTTGGCAAATTTTCTTGTACTTCCCCACTATGCTGTATTAATCATTACAAATTAATACTTTGCTTTCGCGATGGCAATTTCCTCACACTTAAACGTAACTTTTTCAAGTGATATGAACAAAACATTTAAATAAGCGAATTTACCCAGAGAACTCCTGAATAATATCTCCTTTCCTTACGCCAGAGTTGAAGTAATTGGCAGACATTAAAGTTGTCGATACAAAACAAGAGAAAACCCCTTCTTTTTAAGTATTCTTAGGATTGTGGAACAACTTTCCAGCAGCCCAGGACTTGAATAACATGGAGTGTATTTAATCACTGAACCGGTTTTAAGTATCGAAAACTTTCTTTGTACTCGCCGGCTAAGAAAACTTCTAGATTCCTTACAAAACTGACTTTAAAATTCGAAGAATCCGAATTGTGTTGTTGCAGGGCGGGTATTATTACGAAAATACCAGTATGTGCCTGGTAATTCCCGACTTCAAACGAAAACATGGCTGTGGGAGCTATTTTCGAAGTTTTCTTACAAATATCTGTTCAGCAAACACTAAAAAGAGGCTATGGAGAAGAATTTAGCATGTTTACTAACACGAAATTTCAGTAGAGCGGTCTCAAAATGATCTAACAATGGATTGCACCGTCAAACGAAAAAATTTACAGAGAAAATAGTAATAAATAAATGGGAAACGACACTCTCGTAAACAAATTTTTTACTTACAAATCCATCGAACACATTCATATTTTTGTGGGGATATCTACAAAAAATTGTGTACATTCACCGCCCTCTGCGTCCCGTCCTAATTATTTCAGATATTTCAATCAGCATATTTCGATGACCGACGCCACATGAGGGCATCCCACAGTCAGTTCATTGGTTATAATAGATTGGCCTGCAATTCCTCAGAGTGGCATGCAGCCCTCGACAAGGGAACCGCTGTTACATATCGCAAATTACGCAATCATATCGAATTAGTAGAAATGTATACGCACAGTTGAAGAATGGACGCGCGGGCATAGCGTATAATACAGCCGCACTGGGCGACTGGACAATAAATCTCAGTTGTTGACAAGTGGTTGACAAATTGCCTAGCAGTGCAGTGCTGCAATGCGGAATTTGGCGAGATTCAGGTAATTTAAATTTATTCCAGGCACCTTCTATTAATCATGCATATTACAATTATTGCGAAACGGAGAAATAAGAGGGATTTTTTGTTGTTTATTTATTACAACATAACATTTTGGAGACCTTTTTAAACGGAACAAAACGTTTCCCATCAATATAATAAAATTGGTTGAGGACACGAATTTTCTACACATTATATACAAATTATTATATTTTTTTATCTTTAGCAGAAAGCTTTTTTAGGAACACTTATGAAATTCATCAAATTTTATTGCTAGGCGTTTTTATACTTGTTCAACTGACTTCGGAAAGACTATACCTCAACCAGGCCAGGCAAAGATATAAGACTACTTCCCAGGAGGTAACACCCCTATTTTAAAGAATTTTTGAAATATTTCAGTAATGCCTTAGTCGCATGAGTATGAATGGTGGATGTCGGTTATATAACTCTCCCCGACTGTAATTTTAGTAAAATCCTTAATTTATACAACCACAGTGCACGTCTGTGTTTAATGCCTTCTGCCCATTCCGCATAATGAACATCCCTGATCCTACGTTATAAAGGGATGCTGATATGCTTTAGGTATTTATGAATACATGGCATTTGCTAAATTTAATTAAGTATTGTTCCGGCTCGGTGTAACAAGAGCACAGAAGTACATTCTTTTATAATGACCAAATAAATTTAATTACATTTTTGAAAAATATGTGTTTGATTGTACAAACTGTATAACTATATGTCGATGAACAAAAAATGTTAAGGAAAGTCCAAAGAGTATAACTGAAAGTAATTTAATACTGCATCAAAAAAAAAAAAGGAAAATCAGGACTAGCAATGAGTACGAAACGACAAAAAAATTGGAAAGGTAATATGAAAATCTCTTCCACGAACAAAATTATTTAGTCCAATAATTGCCAAAGCCCTAATACTGTACGCGAAAAAATTGGATGAAATACCATCCCAGTGAAAAGTCCCAAGATGCTCGCTTCCAATATACCCCTTAATATTATAATATTTCTTCATAGTGATATTTTTTATTAAACGTTGCTCTCGGGAAAGTCGTTTACCGAAATCGAATAACGTGACTCGTAAAAGTGTGTAAGGAAAATTTATTGTCGGCCTTAACCAGTATTAGTCCTGGGAGCTGAGGCAGCTTGTCTAAATTAGTATAGCTATAACTATGTCATAGGCAGCGCTTTGACGTAATGTACATTTTAATCAGATTTGTAGCGGAGCGAGGTATGCGATAGTTATTTATGTAAACCGGTAGTACCCAGCGATCCAATCATCGCTTTTACTTTCTGTTGCTTGTTGTTCTTTCTATTTGCAATGAACACAAGACAAATAGGTATCTATAAAAAACGTATGCACAAATATACGGTCGCGTCCGCTGGGCGCAGGCATGGTCAGACCGGAGTGATTTTGATGTTGTGTAGGTTGGACTCTTCAGCATCAAATACGTGCAGTTCATATATTCCACAATTGCGAGGGTAGGGAGCAATTTGAGCGCACTATAAGTGAAAAAGTGTGTCAGAAGTTCGTATACTTCCATTTACAACAAGCTATTACATGACAATAAAAAAAAGTTAAAAATGTGTTGCCCCAAGCGATGGATGTTAGTATAGTTCTCCCCGTAGACGACTCCTGTTTCCATGACAAAGTTCTGCCAGGGAATTAATTTCAGTTCTAAAAGCCTCGTGGATCTGTTCTGCAGATGTAACCCAGTACGTAAGGAGCTTAACAATGGTCTCAATTGTGTGGATCTTGCGGTTTCCGGCGCAATTCAGAACTTGAGAGGGAAGCCGTATGGAGAGAGTCCAATTTAAGCGACACTTATGTTGATAAGTTTTGTCTGTGGATATAAACCTGGGAAATCATTAGATGCAGTTTGCCTTAATAAGAAGCTTGCGTTCTCGCGCTAGGTGCGCGGCGTAGAGGTGGAAAATGTCACCTGTAATTTTATTTGTTGGTGGAATTTGAGTTGTTTAATTGGGAATTTGAGGTCGCCGTTCATTACGACATTGAGGGTCAATTTGACGCATCAGAATTATACAGAAAAGCGTCAAGGCAAAAATAATATAATTCTATTTATTTTAAGTCTACCCATCTATTTACTGATAAACTTATGTCTGAAATAGGAAGGACTATTAACAATTTCACAAATTTACCTTATTCTAATACAAAGTTAAAATAATTACGTGCTATTACCTGCAATGTTGTATGCAGAGATAAATATTTATTAGACTATTCAAACAACTTGTTAGGAGCAGGCAGTATAGTAGTTAGAATATAGCTTCCTAACAAGCATCATTAAAAAATGGTAATAATTGGTTCACTGAGAGATTCAGACAATTGTAATGCCGAGTTATTGGAAATTTTCTGTCATAATTGTCTTGCGACGTTTGCTTCATAATGTAGACACATTTCAATGTGTAATTATTGTTTTGAATAATTTCTCTCTTGTTTCAGGATTTCCATCCGCCGAATTATGAACCCAGAACGCAGAAGAGTGGTGATACTCCCAAGAAGCGACTTCAAAGAGGAGATAACATGATCGGATGGCGGCGACATTGAAATTCGCGATGGTTCCCGCCGCACGGAGAACAGCGATCGCCCTCCTCGTCCTGATTTCGATATGCGACGGCTGCCCTTTTCCCTGTATATGTAAATGGAAGAACGGGAAACAGACGGCGGAGTGTATCAATAAGGACCTAGTCGTAATCCCCGAGGGCATGGATTCTGGCACTCAAGTATTGGAATTCTCTGGGAACAACTTGCGAACGCTTCATCAGGAGAAATTCCTCAAATTGGACCTAATCAATTTACAAAGGATATACATGGCTCGCTGCCGCATCAGCGTCATACACGACAGGACGTTTAAGGGGTTGACGAACCTAGTGGAATTGGATTTGTCAGACAACTTGCTCGAGGCGGTCCCATCTGCAGCTTTCCTCGACTGTCCGTCTTTAATGAAGCTCACTCTTAGTCGCAACCCCTTAAAGACGCTGAAAAGAGCCGCGTTCAGCCATCTGTCCTTCCTGAACACGCTGGAGGTGAGCTACTGCCAGATATCGAAAGTGGACGAGGCTGCGTTCCAGGGGCTGTACAGTCTTGAGTGGCTACACTTGAACGGTAACAAGATGTCCTCATTCGCTGCGTTCACACATTTACCAGTCGGGCTCAAGGGGGTGCAACTCCAAGACAACCCTTGGGAATGCGACTGCCACATACTTCAACTCCACGCTTGGCTATTGAGTTTCAGCTTCCCACTTTCGGTTGAGCCGGTTTGCAGGACTCCGCTACGGTTGTCGTATAGGACGATCAAGTCCGTTCCCTCCAAAGAGCTAGCGTGTCTGCCTGATGTTACCCCTACCACATTTTACGTGGAGATAGAGCAAGGTAGGAACGTTTCTCTAGTGTGTCAAGTCCACGCCGTTCCTGAAGCCACGGTGACTTGGTATTTCGAGGGACAACTACTGCAGAACGACACGTTTCTAGCGCCAGGAGTGCACTTGTTGTATTACATTGAAAGAGGCACGGTGGAGAAGAGGAGCGAACTATTTATTTACAACGCAAACACCGAGGATAACGGGACGTTCATATGCAACGCCGAGAACTCCGCCGGGGTTTCGTACGCTAATTACACCATCAGGGTTATATTAAAACATGAATTAAGCATCGAAGCGGATGAAGTCCCGTTGGAGTTCGTCTTGATGCTAGCTACTGCCACAGCGGTCTCACTCCTGCTGTTGTTATTCGTGGCGGTCTTATCAGTGATAAAGTGTCATCGCAACGCGCGGCTGAAGAAAAAAAGGGACAACTCCAAGGTAGCCCTGAGGAACTCCACCAAGGATAGCTTGCTGCAAGACAGCACCGACGACTCTGAGCACCTAAAGGAGAACAGCAATATTAAATTAGTGAACCACGAAGAAGGGTTGATGCTCTACAGCTCGCATCCCAACGAGCAGCTGCTCCGGTCTCTGTCGCCCCTCGCGACCGCTAATCAGCTACGCAGCCCCACGTCCTTGAAGTGTTACCAGGAACAGAATCCCGATCTCATTAACGGCACGGAGAGCGCGGGGCGGGGGGCGTGCGACATCCTGATAGAGAACCATCAATTAGTCACGAAAAACACTCAATATAACTTGCAGACGATTAAGGAGTTCCAGGAGAGCGATTGTAATTTATGCATCCTGCCGACCGACGTGCGTCTTAATCCTGTGGGATTGCTGAAGACAGGAGACGGCAGGTCTCAGGCTTTTAACGGGAATTGCTACAGAACTTTGCCTTACAATCGGACCAACAAGAGGCACACCGCTGCCGTGCCGATAGGTAAGGCAATTACTTAATTTGAATACCTATCAGGTCCCTAGGTTTTCAGTTTCTGATCCCCTTAAATGTCAAGTCCTTATTTGTCAGTAGTTGTCTCATAACAATTAATGATGGTCCTTACTAAATTAGTACAAAACTAAAAAAAATTTTTAAAAGTCAAGAATTTTAAGAGTTGCTATTTCTTTAATAAAATATTGTCCTGTATGTACAGTTTGTCACACGAAAGTGTTCTGAAGAAGAAAAACTTTTCTACATATCTGTAAAGTTATGAGAAAATGTCATTATTTATAAAAAAATCCTTTCCTCAAATTCTTTAAAGTTGTATTTTCTTGAGAATAATCAAAATACCCTAATCTTTTGAAAAGTGTCACTAAAAGATTACTCTAACAATTCCAATAGTTTCTATTCATTTGCAAAATAATTGTTACCTCGTTTCATATCATTTAGGCAGCTTGTGATTCTCATAATTATACATATAGGAAACTACTTAATAAATGATAATTAAAAAATTCAATGAATTCAGATTGAGACTTCTAGAAGATCAAAAAATTGTATCGAATTTTTATGTTCCCCAATTATAATAGGCTATTGATTATAGGATTTTTAAAAGGAACTATGACGTTCAAGATATTTTATTACATGAATCAATCAAATGGTAATTTTAAATAAATAAAACCGTGGTGCTATTAAATTAGAGAGTGGAACTGAAGATAGGGGTGAAAATGCACTTTTGCAGTTTTTTAAATATAGCACGAAAACGAAGCAACATTTCGGTATAGTTCATAGGAAAAATTTTATAGAGAATTGAATTACCCATTTAAAAAAATTAAAGGAAAAATCTTATGTAAAAAATCGTTAATAAACTATTTTAAAAAAAGCAAAAAAGGTGAATTTTTACTTTTGTGACTAAGTTGTAAAAATTTTTATTTATTATTAACAAATAAAACTTTTGAAATAATTTTTTATTAAGTAAAGAACCAATTTTTTGTAAAAATAATAAGAATTATAATCATTATTATGTTAAAAACAAGAAAAATCTAAAAAATATATAAGTTTTACCGGTTATAACTTAGTCAATATTAGTCCAAAAACTATGAAACCGCATCATTTTGAAGGGAATATCATCTAGTTTTTTTGTACAGCAATTTTCTTTGCCTACTTCTACTAACAAATGAAGCGAAAAAATTTATAAAAATCAAAAAATCATATTTTTTGCTCTTTTTAAAATTGTTTATTAACGATTTTTTGCATCAAATTTTTCTTTTCAATTTTTTAAATAAGCCATTTCGATGAGAAATTCAGTTCTCTACAAATTTTTTTTTATAAACTACACTGACATTTTGCTTCGTTTTCGTGCTATATTTAAAAAACTGCAAAAGTGCATTTTCACCCCTATCTTCAATTTCAACCCTCTAATTTAATAGCACACCGCGGTTTTTCATTTTTGATGACCCTTCGAACAAGTCATGTGATGAACATCATTGAACGTCTTATTTCCTTCCTTTTTTTTTGCAAAAAAAAATGAGAATTAAAATGTATAAGGGTAAACGCCACGAAAATCGAAAAATTGGCTAATTGTAAGCTTGAGCGGCCCTATATCAGTCAATTTTCATCCAAAAATACTTTACAACCTCTTATTTTGAAGGAAATTTTATCTACTTTTTTTATGAAGCTAAACCTATACCTATCTGTACTCAAAAAAAAACTAGAGGCAAAAAAAGTAAAAAAAAAATAAAAAATGTTTTGTTTCCTTGCCTTTCTCAACCGATTTCAATTAATTATCATTTGTTAATCAATTTCTGGTTTAATTACGAGAATCCTAAGTATATCCAAGCCATCTATCCGACATATAAAATGAGATAATTTTTTTCTGCTATATGATTGAAACTTCACATTTACGACCTTGGATTTCCTAACGATACCTTTTAGTAACATTCTTTGATACTTTTAATGTGAGGACTTAGCTTGTAGACGTTTTTATATTTTCAAAAAATTAAGCACCCTATACAGGATGTGTCATTGAGCATTCCCGCTGCCAATATCTCCGAAATGAAGAAATTTATTTTAGTTCCGGAAACTGGGGTTGTTAGATCCCTCGAATAGCTTCAAATTGTAGTTAGAACTGTTAGTTCAAATCTTTCTGTATAGATGGCGTGGCGTTACTAAAATAATTTTTGATCCCTGGAACGTGGAAATTCAGTCCATCTGAAAGATCGTTAAATTTTGAGTAATTTTTGTAATATAAAGTTTTACTTTTACTCTGTTACTCGAATATTGGCAGCAGGGGTGTTAAATGGCACACCCTGTGTATCAAAATCCAGAAAGTATTATTTTTAAGGGTGACGACAAGAAGAAAATTTTATAAAGAAATATTGTTATAAATTTACAAATAAAGAAGCTTCCTATCCTCTGTTCAGAACATTTACGCGGGGTACATTATGTGAAATAAACAGTAAAACATAGGAATATAACTTAAACACTCTCTAGCTCATAAACGAGGTAATATGAGAAATGTTAATGGAACCTTGATTATTTAGATGTTTCATTCCAGTCGGACTTTCACATCATTTTTATTATGTCCTTTATAGATACAGAATTCTCAAAAAACAAATAAAATATTATTTTTCATTATTTATTATACCATGTTGATTTACACTGCATTATCCAAAATATTAATTTTTAAAAACAAAAACAATATTTTGTTCCAGAAACCTATTCATTTTTTTATATTAAAAATATGCAGTGACAAACAGAGTAGGAAAACATTATTTCGAATTTGTGTGTAGGTATATAAATAACTTTCTGTTAAAAAAATAGAATTTGTATTCTCGCTAGATAAAATTCATTTTGTTTTTCATGTTATTTTATTAAAGGCTTTTAAAGCCCCAAAGCAATTTTACGATTTTTATTCATATATTGTGAAAAAAATTCAAATAAAAATGAATTTCAACAAAATAAATAGTTTAACTACAAGAATATAACGTGCTTCTGATATACGGGTAGTCTCCCAACAATTCAATGAGAATCAAAACAAAAGATAATTGTTTATTGACATGTAAATTGTGACATGATATACACATACACCGTAACTATATAGAGTACTATATTAGGGAGGGATTAGGGAGTCTTAAGAAAATTAAAATGGACATGAGGTTTTTTTTATTTTCCACAAAATTAAGTTTTCTTTATAGTTATACTTGTATATACTTTAATTTCATGTGCATTAACATTTTATTTTTAAATCTCATAACTGGTAACTGTAACTATATGAAATTTCGAGAAATATAAAAAACTACCCTTTTCGAGATTTCAGAGTCGTCAACCCTTGCTCAAATATACAGGGTGTCCCGGTACTTGATACAGTACGAGTACAAATAGATGAAGTCAAAATAATATCAGTTTTTCATATACATTTTTTTCATTCGGGCCTTCATTAACAAGTTACGGGCCCTCAAAGATGAAAATTAAAAATTTAGTTTTATTTACAGTTTCTAAACTATTAATTTCGGCATGGTGCAAATTTGGTCATGGATAACGCATACGTACAGCTTGTTTTTGATGTTGTAAGTGAAACTTCATTATGCCTAGAACGCCAGGGACGGACTATGCCCAAAGGTTAACAATCCATAATTTTTGCAAATATGACGATCGTAATCTGCCTGCATCAAAAATAAGTTCCCTGAAGAATTTGGCAACGATAATACCCTCTTGGTTCAACTCGGTAAAATTAACAGTTTAGGAAATATTTATAATTTTATGTCACAGTGCACATCGAGCGGCGCCACCACCATTTTTTGGTTTTAATTTTTAATTGGACATAATTACTTTGTTAAAACCGTATATATTTTTAAAATATGTGCCTAGAAAATTCTACTGCCTGCTAATGGAATTTTCACTAACAAAATTTGACAAACACACTTTACACATAACACAAATTAGAAAAACAAAACAAAAATAAGTTAAAGTTTTTAACAGTTTGGAATAATTTGATAATACAAACAGGATAATTAAAAAATGTTTACCTGTTTATAATACAATTTATAATTTATCACATTGTTTTAACCCTTAAAAACCACCCCCAATGACAAAATATAAAAAAATGGCTTTTAAATTGTTTAAAATGAATTATAATGCCTTCCTAGTGTTTATCAATCACTGGGTTTCTTGAAAATTACCCTTCGTTATACAAATAAAAACAATTTTATACATTTAAAGTTGATAAGTAGAAGTATTAAGAGATCGAAGGGGAAAAGTGAAGGTATTTTATGTATGTAGGATGCTCCAAAGTTGTGGATAACAAAAATATTGATATGCTTCGAAAATTGAAGCGGTAAGGTACCGTTGGTTTTTTAACGATAACTTCCTTAATTTTAAGGCTATTAAGACGATCCAAAAACGATTTTACGCAAAATTTCGACAGCTAAAAATACTGTAAAATTGAATATTTTTTAATGCGTTTAAAGGGTTTGAAAAACAGGACCTTCGCTCTCAACTTCAAACGTCTAGCAGCTCTGTTAATTTTTATCCTACTCAAATAATAAAAAAAAAACACAAAATATTCTGTGAAAAAAATCTAAACTTTTATTCATTAATATTTTTCGTATCTGTTTTATTTTTAGTTATTTTCAAAAAAATGTTATTTTTTTCAATCAAAACGTAATATTTTCAAAAATATGCATTCTAAACCGCTTAAACTTGTATAATATATTAGCACATGTAAATTGTTGAAGGATTACCTTTAATTTTAAATCTCGTGAAAAATTAATCAATTTTTTTTTTCGAAAAAGGGAATTAACAGTTTTATTTTAATCACAACTCTGTTAATTTTTATGCTAATGACTTAAAGTCAAGTTCATATTAAAGATGTTTTAAAGTACTTTAAAAAATGTGCTGTGCATTTTTCTTGCAAAATAGAAATTTTTTTAGTTATTTTACGTTTAATGCTTCCAATTTAGTTTCTGGCGGACATGAAATTATCTTCAACCAGCCGTATCTCATCACCTATTGCACCTACATAAATGAAAATAAGCTCAATTTTTTTTCTTTTTCTAAAGTTTCATTTTCTTCGTGATGTTTTTTATTTCATAGAATGTCTATTTTTCGAGTTTTTCCCGAAAAACTACTGAAAAACGTCTTTTTTTTAATAAAAAATTTACATTTTCAATCATCAATAACTCGGAAGAAATAACTTATCGAAAAATGTTCATAAGATACTTTTTGCTTAAAATTGATTGCTTTATGGATTCCTGGGGTTGTTCTCCAATATTTTATTTTTCACCCTCTAGAAGGGGTGGCTTCCACCCCCTGGAAAAAACCGCTCATCGGCACTATATAACTTTTGTTTCTTGAACTATTTTCTACTTACAATCCAAGTTTCACGTCAATAGGTTCTATCCGAAAGAATTCGGAGGGGAAAAACTTGGTTCCCTAAACTGTGTTAACCATTGGACATAGTCCATCCCTGGGGTTCTGGGCATAATGAAGTTTAACTTTCAACATCAAAAACAAGCTGTACGCATGCGTTATCGATCACCAAATTAGCGTTACGCTGAAGTTAATAGTTTAGAGATTGTAAATAAAAATAATGTTTTAATTTTCACATTTCAGGGCCCGTAACTTGTTAACGAAAGCTCGTGTGAAAAAAATTTACCTGTATAACGAACTGATGTTATTTTAACCTCATCTATCGGTACTCGACTTTTTTGTGTCAAGGACCGGGACACTCTGTATATTAGCCTAGAAATAATTCCTTAAAAGATGGCATGACTCTCACGCCACTGGTTTTGACGTGATCGTCATTCAAGACATACGCATCCACCATAACTAAGGCCCAAAGCGCAGGAATTAGGTATCACCCACCCCCCAAAATTTCCCTTTTAATAAGGACTTGATTGATTTATCCGCGCGTATCCGCACGAACCGCGCGCGTTATCCCCGAATCAATCACTAAAGGGAGAAAATTTATATTGCAGGCAGATTCTCCAGGGAGGCCGAGTTCCTATTACGGAGCGCCCAGCAGCCGGGCTCGTACGAGCACTACGGCTGCGACATCCGCTACACCGCCGATGGTTATCCAGTTAGGGCGGCGGATGAGAGTCAACAAGCGGCGGTGGCGGCGACTTCGCCCCCCGAATCCCATAAATCAGGCAGCTCCGCGTCAACTGCAGAGCCTTGTTGTTCGTCAAGCAGAGTGCAGTGGCCCTCCTGCGTTCCGGCCAACTTACATTCTGTTAGGCAGGAGGCCGTGGCGAAAAAATGTGTCGGCGCGCAGACTCAGACGGACGCGATTCCTAATAAATTGCCGCCGGCTGCGGAGACAGTTAACGAAAATGCGGATGAAGGCTACGAAGGCGAATGCTGAAAAATGTAAATAAAATTTGATGTTATGGGAGCGGGAGGGTCGGGCCAGTGACGGATTTTTAATGTGGGGTTTTTGTAGGGATGGTCGTAAATCAGTTTCGGAAGTTTCTCGGACAGATTTTTAATTATCGATGTGTCGGCAAGTGATCACTAGAGATAATTTTATATTTGAGAAGACGCTAAGTCTACTTTTAGGTGTATAAACGTTAATAAGCATTAAGAACTGAAGTAAGACACATTGAAGCATGTGCGGCATTTTGTTAAGACATGTTTTCTATTGTCGGATGTACATAAATAATTATTTGCTACAATTATTCAAACAAATTTAGAAAAATAGGGAGTAATTAATGTAAAATTTTGTTTTTATTATTCGAACGATACAAACATTTCCGAAAAATTTTAAATTTTTATGCCAAATTTCTAGAAAATGGGATTTGCATTCGACTCAATTTTAAGAGACCATAAAATTCACTACACTTAATTTTTACTTGGAATTTCATCTTCAAGAATTTCTAAACTCAGAAATATGAAAAGATAGGGTAAAATTCAATTATAATTTATACAGGGTGTCTCATAATTAGTGTCCAATAATTTACCACTTGATTCTATTGCCAAAAATAAGAATATTTTTTCATATAAACATTGGTCGAAAAATGCTTCCTAAGGGAGCTACGCCTCCCTAAATGGAGCCTCAAAAAATTCACCTTTTTTTTAATATTTCTGAAATGGGTTGAAGGAAAATTATGACTTTTGATTTCGTGAACGCTCATTAAAAGTCGAAATAGATCATCATAAAATTTTTCAAAAATTTTGATCAGGGGCGTCTCAATTGAGGGGGTCGTCGGCTAATATTTGCCCCAAGTTTTTTGCTTATCGAAATTTTCAAATTCAGAGGCCAACATATGATAGATCTTCATTTCCTATACAAAAAAGGTACTCTTTATTTCTTTCGATAAAATGCTCCATTTCCAAGAAAAACGGATTTAAGTGCTTAGAAAAGCACATTGAAAAAAAGTGTTAAAACATATTTAAACCGATTTTTCTCGAAAACGGATTACTTTTTCGATATAAAACAACATTACCATATTTAATAGAAAACAGATCTATCAAATTTTACTGTTTAAATTTGAAAATAGTAACATGTAATATATAATATAATTTTTGATTCCAAGAAATTAATTAATTCTTGAACTCAAGATTGAAATTCTAATTTAAAACTAAGAGCAGCGACACAAATATAAAAAAACTGATTATTAAAATTTTCGGAAAAAAATTTTAAACTCGCGTTCTGAGGAAAAAATCGGATAAATATATAAATTTTGACTTGGAAATTAAAGGAATTCTAACCTTCATCTCGTAATTTCATAGATTATGAGTTGTAGTTAAAAATACATTAAAACTACGAAGGCCAAAGCTGAAAAATGTAAATAAAATTTGGTCTTATGGCTGCGAGAGGGTGGATCAATGACGGATATTTGATGTGGAGTTTTTGCAGGATGGTCGATCGTAAATCACTTTCGGAAGTTTCTTACAGTTTTTAATTATCGATGTGTCGGGAGGTGATCACTAAAGATACTTTTATAATTGAAAAAGCCTTAAATACTTTTGGACGTACCTACAAAAGTTATGTAACATTGAGAACTGATATAAAACTCGTTGAAGCATGTGTGACATTTTATTAAACATGCTTCTTACTGATGAAGTTGCCCCGACTATTCAAACAAGTTTTCTTCCTAAGGAACATGTTTTAGTTTCTAGGTTCAACTCTAGAATTCATACAACTGAAATTTCAAATATCTATACGGAGAAAAATAGGACGAATAGACAAATTTTTAAATGGAAATAAAATAAAGACAGTATTCAAATTGATATACATACTTAATTTCTAGCCATGAGAACCTAGTGAATCTCCTATTTTTCTATTCTGAATTTAATTTATAAATTTTGCAGATTCGGACGTTTTTAATCAGTCGTCGTTAAATGTGCATGAAAGCTACGAAAGCGAATGCTGAAAAATGTAAATAAAATTTGATGTTACGAGCACGGCGCCTCTTTTATAACTTAGAAGGGGAATAGCGACCGGTGACGAATTTTTAATAGCGGCGTTTTTATTGGGGTGGTCGTAAGTCAGTTTCGGAAGTTTGTTAGGCAGTTTTTAATTATCGATGTGTCAGGAAGAAACTCAAAGTGACCAAGATAGGGACTTTATGATATTATTTGAACTGAACTTCATATATAATTTTAAATACTGAGAACTGAAACAGTACCTACTGTGCATAACATTCTATTAAACATTCTTTTCATTGGTAATTAATATACAGGGTGTTTTCGAAAGATGTAGCACAAATGGTACCAATGAATCTACAGCACGTACTAAAGAGACTACGTTTTTCATAAAAATTACCTTAGTAAAATGTTCATCCCTTAGGAAATACAGCCTCTCAAAGTTTCCGAAAAGTAATGGAACTTTCTACTAATGCATGTCCAACTTTTCAACGATTTTTCGAAAATTTCTGCCCCTTGGAAGGGGTTGAAGTAAGCAACCCCTAAGTTAGTCTTTGCTACAATAGTTTGTTTGACAAAAAAATCAAAAATACGTATCAGATAGCCTGGTTTATTTTAAAACAAAAAGTTTTAGCAAAAAATAACTTAAGTGTGCTTATTTCAACCCCCTCCAAGGGCTAGAAATTTTCAAAAAATTATTGAGAACTTACACATGCATTAATAGAAAATTTATGTAAAATTTGATTATTATACATTTTTTGGTTTTCAGTTGCTATTCCATTTTTGGAAACTTTGAGACGCTGTATCTCCCAAGGAGTGAACAATTTACTAAGATCATTTTGTGCAAAATGTGTAGCCATAGATTCACCAGTGCAATTTGTTTTACCTCTTTCAAAAACATCCTGTATTTATTTTTAATCTCTGATAACTGAAATAGTACCGCGATATTCTATTAAACATCATTTTCATTGGTAAATATAGATAGACTTTTGGCTTGACAATTCAGAAGAAATTTACAAAATGACGGAATTCCAGAATTGAAATTTCAAGGGTCTGAGGAAAAAGAAATGCATATATTTTGCTTCAAATTTGGCCTTCCGGAATAATAATAATGGTAATATTTCAGATATAAGACATAACGTGTATTAAAAAAATCTATTGCAAACTCTGCAAATATCTGCATAATAGCGTATACGTTTTTTTATATGTGGATGGCAATACCCTATTATTTTGTAAAATTATTTATGTTTTAAAAAACCAACTGTTCCATACACATATGTATATAATTATTCTTAAGCTGCATTTTAACAATCAAATACCATGTATGAATTTTTCGTTTCACCTTTTACAATGTAGATGTTAATTTGCCACTCACTATACCTACATGTGTTTATTACTTCTTCAAAACAACTGGTTTGGACACCTTGTGTAAGCGTCAAATCAATCATCGGTTTAATATTCAACTATCAGTTGAATAAGTTATTTATGTATGGACACAGTTTTTATGAAAGGTAAGTTCCGCCTTACGTGGAATGTGCATGCTAAAAAATTAGAGAGAAAAACAGACTTACCGAAACCAAGAAAACAGCGAAATCAATTAGTCTCGAAATCTTGAAGATTAAACTTCCACAAGTCACTTTAACACTTATTCAATCAATTTTATTTCACTATTATTTTAAGTTTTACCACGAAACATTGAAACGCGAACACTATATCTACGTTTGTACGTAATAGACACTGCAGAAACTCAAAAAAAGTCACTAAAACCCGGCGGTCGACTAGCCTAAACGTTAGCGCGTCTATACGTACGGCACGCGTAGGAATACAACGGAATCGTTTAAGACCAACAATGCTACGAGCTGTCAAATCGTTCCGATTATTAAATCATAGCCCACTGCGTAACATCATAAAACAATAATAACAGGAATGTTACTATACTTTGTTACTTTATATAAGTTCGTTGTTTTAACGTTATTAGGATTTAACTGATCCAGTTACAGTGAGCTTCTAACTGTCGAGAATTATACAGGGTTGTTGGTTATAAATGTCAACTTGTTTTATTTTTAAGATTTAAGAAAAGTTGGTACAAAAGTTGTTGCTAGCAACTTGAAGATATTTTATGGTGATATACAACAGTGTACAAGGTGTTCTAAAAAAACGTTGCAAACTAAATAAATTTAAATAATGCTCTGTTTATTTTTTAATTTTTAAAATCTACACTTGTATGTACGTTGTAAGCTTGGTCTAATCATTTATGAAATACAAAAAATTATTTACGCACTCGCATATATTGTGTTTTCCATTACCAAAACAACACAAGGAGGGTCATTTTTGCTTCGAGTCTCCCCGAATCCGTGTTTCTTGTGTAATACAGGCTAGAATTAACTTCAACGGAACCATTTTTGCAATTCAGGTGTTTTCGTACATTTTAGTTACAGAAAAATGTAATCTGGCTTACCAGTTTAAAAATAAATAGTTAAATTAAGTAGTTTAAATATTTTTACTAAGAACCAAGAAAAACTCTGACATCTGTATTTTAAATATTTGAAGAACTTGTTACGTATGGTTTTACAATTACATTTAGTCCTGCATAAATTATAAGTCTATTATGGTCTTAGTTTGTGAATTTAACAATTTCTCGAGCAGATTATTAGTATTATAAAAACAATTATAAGCGAAACATGCACATAAGTGGAATTATTTATATCATCAAATCAACAGAAATATGGCCAAGAAAGTTCACTTCCCGTAACTGCAAATGACAGCTATCTGACGCGGTCAGAGTGAAAATTAATGTTTTGTAGAACAATCACATTAATATGTCAGGGTGGTGTGACAGGCGTATCAAGCTGCCCTGTCGCGTTGATTTGTTTCTTGCCAAATAAGCATTTTCAATTTACCCAACAATTTTACAAGCCCCAGCAACTAAAGCCAATAAAGGAGCCTCGTACATTTTTATCAAAATGATGAGGAATGTTGATTATGTGAATGTCAGTG